TATTTATTTTTAGGAACAGGAACATTAACATTTACACAGACACAGCAAGGGAAAAAGGTAAACAACTAACTAGAAGTAAAAATAATAATATAAATAAGATAAATAAACAAATAATAAAAAATAATGGAGGGAGGGGTTCACCCAGGGCTATGGGAAGTTACTAAAATGTAGTTTTTTCACTTGGAGACACACCGTGCATCTTCACCCCCATACCTACGTCTATGTACATACTCACACACACTTTCAAGTATCTACATACACATCTACATATACATACATAATACATATCTACATGTGCACGCATGCATACTCATGCATGTATACCCTTTGACATATTTTTGTGCATGTCTATGCAAGTGTCCATTCAGCATCATAAGCTATTAAGACCAGTCGAGCACCGGAAAATCAGGTTAAATGAAAACAGAATGGGAAGGGAATGAATAAGATCCTTTCGCATACTCGAAAACCATTTTGACCAATATCTTTGAACTTTGTCTTTACAGAGTCTTAGAGAAAAGGTCATCTTTTCCATTTCACGAATCTCTTTTACTATGGCTGACCACTCTCCAACCGTTGGTGGGTCCTTGTCCAGCCATCTTCTAGTTATTGCTTTTTTACTTGCTGCCGGGAATATTTTAAAAAGGTGTTTATCTTTCCTATTCATCTCAACTGGTACATTTCCCAAATATATTGTAGCAAAGCAAAACCCATGACTTTTTTAATCCTCATTAGTATTTCAGCCCAATAAGTGTACTTTATTTTTAATGTGATATTACAGTTTGGTATTACTACCGCTCTAATCAGTGGTAACAGTAAGTTAAAATGCTTCACTGAAAGCACCACTCTTATGAAAACAAACCTGTGTATTTTCAAGAAGCTTTAAACTTTTAGATGATTTCATGAAATTACCTGCACAAGTAGGTCTCGGCCCACTCCAGTCCCCAGTGTCTTCACAGGTGACAAATGACGAGCCATTTATGAAGAAGCCAGGGTCACACTTCAATCGACAGGTCGTGTTGAAGGTTCGATTTCCTCCTGAGCAGCTATGGTGTCCATTATAAGGCTTAGAGAGAGGGAGGCATTCCACAGCTACGGACACAAACAAGTTACGTAACATCTTGTAATGATTTATAAAACATTTCAAAGCACAAACATGCTGGTGCGTGCACATTTTAATGTTATATAAGAATGTGGATAATGAGTCGCTGAAAACAGAATAAGCGTAGCAGTTAAACTAAATCTTTTTTGAAGTATTTACTTCTATGTCTAATTGTACGTAAAGTGGGGAACCACTCAGGACAAAACCTGGGTTCCAGTTAAATCGACATGTTGTGTTGAATGTTTGATTTTCTCTTGAGCGGCTTTATCTGTTCTCAAGGAATATACAACTCGGTTACGATTACTTGTTTCCTCCGTGCAAGTATGCCTGCACATTGTTTCACACATTATTAATAACTTTAAATGGCAACTCTTTATGCATTATAATAAATAACAGTAAATTGCTCACCTGTTTGGCACCTGTCTCCCTTAAAGCCACGTTCACAGAGGCAGGTTGTACTGTTGATGGCCTCCTGGCATCTTCCTCTTTCACAGGATGATTCATTGCACTGGGCTTTTAAGAAAAGGCACATCAATATAAGGTCACTTATCATTATAAAACCTTCACAGCTTTTCTTTGTATAGAAGACACTTTATTTCTTTTTTTAAATTGATATAAAAAAAATAGTTTTAAGACGAGACATGTTATCCTGAAGATGTTAGAAAAGTTAAACAATACAAACAAAAAATATCTGACATTACTGTAATGGTGCATAGCACATTAAAATAATATGTAAACAATTTACATCAATAACAAATAAAAATAATATATAATAATATATAATAATAATATATATATAATAACAAATATTATGAACATGTAAAAACTATTCTGAAATCAAGATTAAAGGAAATCAGCCATGCTTTTTCATCAAAATATAAGTTATGATATAGCAAAAAGAAAAAAAAATCAACAAAGCAGAATTAAAACTGTGGTAAAAAACTGTACAGGAAATACTATATGACAGGTTTACGTACTTTTAAAACATGCTGCATATTTTAATTTGCTGCATTTCTCGTCGTTCCACTTCCCTCGATTTTCTCCTGTGTTCGTGTAGATCTCTACACAAAACTCTGTTGCATGGACATTATTTGGTTCATTTGGTGCCCACGAATTGTTACCAATCCACGTGCTGTTATTCCCAATCCAAATCCAGCTTTCATTCATATGATTTCTAGTGATCCCAATCCAGAAATATGGGG